TAAGATTCATCCAACTAGGTATATTTCTACACCATAGGAAGGTTAGCATGGGCACCACTGTGACCACAAATGCAAGTTTTTAATGACGAATCTCCAGCTAGCGTGGCCATGACGAACTCTAGCTCAAGTCCCCTCAAAGCCGTTAACATGACTCACGAAATCGTAATGACACGATTGCAAACGTGGTATGGTTTGTTTGCAATCGTGTCATTACGATTTCGTGAGTCGAGATAGTAACTAGATAATACACTTGAGACACACGAGTGAGAATGTAAAAAAAAAAAAAAAAAAAAAAAAAAAACAGCAGAGAGAGGAGAGACGAGAGACGAGAGAACAATGACGTCTAGGAAGAGAGGATGCAGGAGGCGCAGGATTTATGACAGATTGTAAGATAATGCTACGAGGGAGCAACCATGTTGACTTTTGTAATTGTCTGTATCCTGCCTTGTGTGCTTGTGTGCTTGCTTGCTTGCTTGCTCTCGCTCTCGCTCTCTCTCTCTCTCTCTCTCTCTCTCTCTCTCTCTCTCTCTCTCTCTCTCCTGGATAAGACATAAGATATCGTTCGGATTTTTAACCCCGGAGGGTTAATTACCCAAGACAACCTAAGAACGTCAGTGCCTGTCTGTTTTATTTCCATTGTGGTCCTCAATCATGCACCCCAGGATGCGACCCACATCAATCGACTAACACCCAGGTACCTATTTGCTGCTAGGTGAACATGACAACAGGTGTAAGGAAACAGGTCGAAATGTTTCTACCCCGCCGGGAATCGAACCCGGGCCCGCCGTGTTTGAAGCGAGAGCTTTGCCAGCCAGGCCACGGGGACGATACAATTCGGGAAGTCATTAACCAGCTATGTATAATAACCTTTCTGAACGCTATAACTACACCAGAGATGTTCATACATCATCGTTGATAAATGAGACGCTTGTACAACATCTGGGTATTTTTATTCTGGAAAGGTTTCACCAGCCAGTGGCTTCTTTAGTGTATCCGGGTTCGATTTCCAGATGGATAGAAACATTTGGGCGTGCTTCCTTATACCTGCTGTCCATGTTCACCCATCAGCAAAATAGGTACCTGGGCGTTAGTGGACTGGTGTGGGTCGCATCCTGGGACAAAACTGACCTAATTTGCGGGAAATGCTCTGCATAGCAAGCGGCTTTCTATAAGTTGTACTTGTAGAAATAATGATGATTTATTATTATTATTATTATTATTATTATTATTAATACAGAGAAAGATGTCCAATTTATCGACTTTTCTGTTTTCTAAAGTATTTGTGTGCGAGGGGCACATAAATGGTAAGCGTGTCAGGAGCGAGTGGAGACGAACAGTTTTTATGACTTGACGTGCTGTTGGAGTGTGAGAAAAGTAGCATTTATGAAGGGATTCAAGGGAAAATGGTTAGCCAGACTTGAGTCCTGGAGATGGGAAGTACAGTGCCGGCACTCTGAAGGAGGGGGTGTTAATGTTGCAGTTTTATAACTGTAGTGTAAGCGCGCCTCTAGCAAGACAGTGATGGAGTGAATGATGGTGAAAGTTTTTCTTTCTTCGGTCAACCTGCCTTGGCGGGAAACGGCTGATGTGTTAATAAAAAGAAACGATTTTCTCAACGTATTAAAATTAGTCACATATTCTTTAAGAACATAAGAAAGGAGGAACACTGCAGGAGGCCTACTGGCCCATTTTTGACAGGTCTTAAGCCAAACCCATTAAAAAATCTTGGGACTAGCAAGTCAGTCTTGAGACGGTCTATGACCCCTAAGGGTTTAAAGTTTCCCCATAATTAAAATAATAACCGAGTACTTGTAAGCAAAGTCAAGGCTTGTTAAGACCCTTCATAATAATCTTGGGCAACGAGTGCTCTCTTGACTGTTCTGTTAAGTGTTTTTTCTGGCCACTGTTCTTGCTCGACTCGTTAAATTTAGGTACAGAAACACATCAATGGTTACACAAATTATCATACATAGATCACTTGGTAGCGCACTCAGCTCACACACTGAGGTCCGTAGTTCGATCCCTGGTACTGGTGGAAACATTAGGATGCCTTAAGACACCTGCTGTCCCAGTTCACTTGCCAGTAAAATAGGTACCTGGATATTAGTAGACTGGTGTGTGTCGCATCCTGGGGATAAAATTGACCTAATTTGCCCGAAATGCTCTGCATAACAAGTCAGTTTATAAATGTAAATTACCCAGGATCACCCCCCCCCCAAAAAAAAAAAAAGTCGTGACTTATTTCCATTGGGGTCGTTGTAATATCTTACGTAAACATTGAAAGTTAAAAGAGCCATGTAACTCAATTAATCATCCAATTGATTATAATATTAAAACTAATAAGTGATATTATTGATAATATTATACAGTATATTTGGTGATAAATTAATTAATACATTAATGGTTAATTAAAAATTAACAAACTGAGGGTATAGTTTTCCCCTGTATGTATTAGTTAGTTATGATGTAGTGTATGTTAGTTTTTTAAGTCGTATTTTTGCAACAGATTAGTTTATGTGGCAGCGAGAGCACTTGAGGCCAGATGAATGAACCTAATGAAGAGTGATAGTGATGGTCTGTGTGTGTTGACTCTCCCTCCTTGCTCCCTCTTTATATCCCTCCCTCTCCTTCTCTAAATCCCTCCATGCCTTCCTCCCACTCTGTATCTCCCTATAATACTCAAAGTCCCTCCCTACTTCTCCCTGTCCTCTCTCTAAATCCCTCTCTTTCCTCCTCCCATGTCTTCTCTCCCTCCCCTGAGAGCTATTTCATTCCACAGACAAACTTGGGCAAGAATCTTTGCACTCCTACCCATCAAGCAGTAAAAACAGGTCCTTGTGTATTAACCCACCGTTGTGGGCTGCAGCCATGAAAAAAATGCTGGAATATAATTGCCACTGTAAGAACAAACATTGTTAGTTTCATCTCTTCTTTCTGTTGTACAGTGCAACCCCTGTATCCACTGATTCAGTATCTACGGTTTCATTTATCCAAGGTTTACTGTGGCCCAAAGATACCTCTTAATTTTAAGAACATAAAAACATAAGAAAGAAGGAACACTGCAGCAGGCCTACTGGCCCTTGTGAGGCAGGTCCAATTCTCCTACCGGCTTAAGCCAATGCCTTAACCTAGTCAGGTCAAGCACATTCACTTCAGGAAGGAGCATGGCATCTGACCTAGTAGCATAAGCTAGTCAAATCAAACTCACACCCACCCACACCCACTCAGGTACAGCCACTCCTCACTTAGCGACGTACTCGTTTACGGATGACTTGGACATATGACGGGCTCTTTGACCAGTATTCATACCTAAATAATGTATGTTAGAGCTGATTTCCTCCATTCTGTTTATTACAATATACAGTACACTACTGTATAAGCATTTAAAAATATACCAGAAGTGCTATAAATGGTGCAAAGGTTACATTAAAACAATATCAGAGATGTTAGGTAAGACACATATGCAACAGTTAGGTATCTTTATTTCGAAACGTTTCGCCTACACAGTAGGCTTCTTCAGTCGAGTACAGAAAGCCTACTGTGTAGGCGAAACGTTTCGAAATAAAGATACCTAACTGTTGCATATGTGTCTTACCTAACAATCTGTCGGTATTTTATACCATTTTAATGTTCAATATCAGAGATGGTTGACACAAACCCACTACCATTACAGTATGCTCCTCGCTTACCGACAAATTCATTTACCGACAAGGTCTTAGGAATGGAACTCCGTCGTTAAGTGAAGAGAGGCTGTACCTATCTAACCTATTTTTAAAACTACACAGCGTCTTAGCATAATAATGGCCCCAAATTGCAGAAGCAGAAAATCTGACAGCTCTTCAAAGTCTAAGGGAAGCTCTGAAGTGCTTCCCATCAGTGAAAAAGTGATAACTGTCCACTTATTATGATTAATTTATCAATTAAACTTTATAATAGGTATGTATAGAAGTTATACATGTAGAGTTTGCTACTATATACGGTGTCAGTATCCACAGCAGGTCCTTGAAACATATCCCCCGCAGATGCGGGGGTCCTAATGTATGTACAGTACATTTTCTATTGCCAGGAACACTGAATGATCTACATGGTCAGCTCAAAACTATGTAGCTACATCAACTGGATTAATGGGCTAACATCACAACTCAAATGACAGTGTCAACTGACACAAGGACCACAATGGAAATAAGTCACTGACATTTTTAGAGTAATTTACACTGTATGATCATTGTACTTATGTGTACCTGTGGCCAAATAAACTTAATAACATAAATAACAAAAAAAGGCACAATACCGTGACTGGAACGATACACAAAAAAAACGCACATAAAAGCTGTAGGCACTGTACTTCTCACTTCCCAGGATTTATTTTCAGCTAACCAGTTTACCTGAATCCCTTCATGAATTCTCCATGTTATTCTTTGTGGATGAGACCAGAATTACCACGACACTGTCCGCCATCAAAGACACTGCACGACTCCAAGCAGACATCAACCAAATCTTTAAATGGGCTGCAGAAATCAACATGAAGTTCAATAAGGAGAAATTTCAACTACTCATTCTACCTTGCTAACACTCATATGGTTTGGGAGTTTGCATATGTTGAAATTCCTGGATATATAGTACCATTATCAAATAAAATAAAAATTTTGTTTCTTTGCATATTATATAATGTATAGTTTACATGTAGTAATAAAATACTGTTAAGCACAAAGAAAGTCACTAGCATGCATGAGAATTTCGGTCATCTATGAAAGTTTTTAAGTTCATTTAGGCACAGGTACACATAAGTACATACAATTATCATACATGATATAAATTACCTAGGATAACCCAAAAAAGGTCAGACTGATTTCCATTGGGGCCTTGTAAATGTAGCTATCATGGTACTAGGGATGGCTGAGCATAGCAGGCATTTCCTCACAAGACATACTGTACCACTCTTGTTATCGATCATGGAACCTAAATACAAGCCAGAATGTAACTCTTATAATGTTTTTCAGAAGCATTCATGATGCCTTCTGGGAAGTCTCTGAATGTGGTCCAGCGAGAGAGCTTCTTCGATGACACCTTCTTCAAAGAGAACTGGGAAGACTTCGACCGTGCAGTTCAGTCAATCTTGGACAAGTTTGATAACAGAGGACTCAAGGTGTGTAATGTGTGGATCTATGGTGTACTCAGATATGTTCTGTGGTAAATAAGGTAGGAGACCCACGTGCTGATATTTTTTGGGGGGAGCAGTTATGGGAAACTCTGGTCGGATTTATTTGTATATCTCTTGGGGTTAGTAGATGGTTCCATGATTCATGTACTACCCCTCCTCCCTAAATTGGATCATCTATTAACTTTTCCACAAGCATGGACTATCTACTGTCCTCCCAAAACCATGGACCATTTACCAATCTCGCAAAACCATGAACCATCTACCCAACCTGCCAAAATCATGGGCCATCTACCAGCTCTCCAAAACTATGGATCATCTACTAATCTCTCAAAACCATAAATCAACTACCAACCTCCCCAAAACCATGAACCATCTACCAACCCCCATGAAGCAAGCCTCGAGTGATGGGAAGCCATAACTCTGGTATGCAGGTAGACAATACCATACCTACAATAATCATGGATATTAGCATACATGCATTTAACTGATGACCCCATTTGTTACAACCTTTGAATCTTCACATAAAGAGCTCCTATTTGAGTGACATGAAATTGTAATAAGACTGTTGCCATGGGTTCGAACACCATTCATTCCGTGGTATGTGCAATGGTGGCTTGGTTCTAGCCCTTCCCATAAATATGGGAGGAAGACAAGATCTGACACTGTCTATTGCTGGTATCATGATAAGGTGGGCAACACTCTCGCCTTACACACTGAGTGTCCATGGTTCGATCTCCGGCACGGGTGGAAACATTGGGCATGTTTCCTTACACCTGCTGTCCCCGTTCACTTAGCAAGCAAGTAGGTACCTGCGTGTTAGTCGACTGGTGTGGGTCGCATCCTGGAGGACAAAATCATGAAAAAAGGACCACAATGGAATAAGAGAGTCCTTGATGATGCACTGACTTTCTTGGGTTATCCTGGGCGGCTAACCCTCCTGGTTAAAAAAACAAACATAATCTTATCTTGTCTTATATATCTTATACACAACATTTAGCCTGTAAATTCAACCATGTCAAAAATACTTTTCATCCCCAGGTTGATCAGGGATCCAGAACCGAGTGCCGGGATGTGTACAGCAAGATCCGTACTAGCAAGATTGACGAGGACCTGTATGCTTCACAGGCTCTCCAGATCACAGAAAAGGATGGTAAATTCCAGGTAAATTTCCATGAAATTTGAGTAAAATGATGAACCAGCAGTAACAGCCTGGTCAGTCAGGCCTTGATCCACCACAAGGCCTGGTCACTGACTGGGCCATGGGGCCGCTGATGCCCGAAACCCTCTCCAGGTAATTCATAACTAACTTGCATGTCTGAGACAACAACTTGAGATATTTCTGAAATTCTGCTTGTTTTTTTTAACACAGTTCTCGATGATGCACTGACTTCATTAGGTTATCCTGGGTGCCTAACCCTCTAGGTTAAAAATCCAAACAAATCTTATCTTGCCAAGTCACAACTGACATGTACGAATTACTAATTGTAAAAGAAAAACGTCTTTTACTATTAATATGCCAGGCCTTCTGGTATTGTTTCTCTTCTCTGTCGCTGTTCACCACCAACACCTTGTTCTGGCTCACAGGTTCCTTCTCTCACTAAAAACCTGTCCAGGAAGGTTTGTTTCAGGCTCCATTTTAACACCTGTCTAAACCGAGATATTACAGTGTCACTGTACAGGTTAGAGACAGATGGCCACTGCTTTGTCTGGATGCTATTTTTCAGCAAATTCTTGGATTTCACTCCATTTAGCACACATTTCCTTGACAAGAGCAATCAGCACATCATCCCTTCCCTCTTCCTCTGAGGACAGCTCCTCCACTGCAATCTGTTGCTGCTCCTTCTGAATGTCTAAGTTCTTCTGTGGTGAGTTCAGTTCTGCTCTCCTCCACCAACTCCTCCACATCATCTTCAGTCATCTCTAGGCCCAAGGTCTTCCCCAGGGACACAATATCCTCTACTGGCTAAGGATCATCTTCAAAAACCTTCAAAATCCCTGGCTGCCACAGTCAGGCCACAATTTCTTCCATACTGACTGCATGGTCTTGGAAGACACATTCCCCCAGGCTTTGTCTATAAGCCTCAAGCTGGTGAGGATATTGAAATGATCCTTCCAGAACTCCCTGAGGGTTAAATTTGTTCCTGAAGAGACTTCAATTCACCTTTTCAAAAAAGTGTTTTGGTGTAGAGTTTCTTGAAGTTAGAAATGACCTGCTGGTCCATGAGCTGCATAAGAGTAGTGGTGTTAGGAGGCAAGAAGTTCACAGTCATAAAACTGAACTCCTCCAGCAACTCTTTATTTTTTCCAAGCATTATCCATAAGTAAAAGTTCTCTTGGTTGCCTGTTGACAACCAAGAGAATGTACAAAAACCAGGACATTTGTTTCTCAAACACTTCATTCAATAACCATTTTATACAATTTCAAGTAATGCAACTGACTATAACCCAAATAATATTTCTTATAATCATGTACAATGACATATTTAATCTACTTGTATATACAGGTGGGCCCCACTTATACAGCAGGATAGGTTCCTGCCTTCTGCTGTAAAGTGAAACATAGCCCTTTTTTCACTTTCAAATGCATATAAAATCCTGATAACATGTTTACACTATCATCTATTAAGTGAGTAATAGAGCTAGACCTAAAAAATGCATATCATTTGCCTTAAAATATTTCTGTCCTTAGCTTATAGTGAGTGGTGAATATATTTACTGTAAGAAGTCTGAATAAATGAAGAATGAATATAACTGAAAATTAGTGTATTAGGGAAATGCTGTAAAGTGAAGTGTTGTGAAGCAAGGCCTGCCTATCCATTCATTACAAACTCAATATTATTTGTAAAAACTTAGCCCCTAAAAAGATACATCTAATGTTTATTACTCCTATAGTCTTAAGCTTGCCCAAAATGTTCTACATAACCATGGGCTTTCTGCATGCATTCAAGTGTCACACATTTCTGTATAAAAAATGTATCGTGTCAAAATAAATTTGAATTTTAATCATGACTGTTCACTTCAGAGAAAAATATACAGAAGTACAGTAGTCCCCAGTATCCACAGGGGTTACATTCCAAGACCTACTATGGATACCTGAAATAGCAAATAGTAGCAGACTCCATACAAGTCATTTTTTGTTTAGATACATACCTATGATAAAGTTTAATTAATAAATTATGCAAAATAAGTCAAGAACTAGCATTATTTTACTGATGGGAAGCATTTCACAGCTTCTCTTGGGCTTTGAAGAATTGCAAGCATTACTGCTACAGTGGTACCTCGGGATATGAACTTATTTTATTCCAGAAGGCTGTTTGAGTGCTGATACCGAAAGAATTTGTTTCCATAAGGAATATGTAATGTAAATTAGATTAATCCGTTTCAGACCTCCAAAAATACACTTACAAAAGCACTTACACAAATACATAATTGTTCACGTTTTGAGCTGTTCGTATCCCAAGGTACCACTATGTTGAACTTTGGGGCCATTATTAAGCAAAATTAAGGGCATTTTCAAGCCATAGTAAATGTGGATAACTGAAACCACAGATACCGAATTCGTGGATATGAGGGCTTACTGAAATGTGATACATTGAAGATGCAGCTTCCTAACATGTTTCCTCTTCCAGGCTGTGATGGACGTGAAGGATTTTAATCCTAGGGAGCTGCAGGTGCGAGCTGTAGATGATCGAATTGTGGTAGAAGGATCCTATCAGAAGGTTAGTGAGTCCCTCGCCTGTCACTCACTTCAACACGTGTTTGTTTTTTTTATTTCTAAATAGTGGAATATTACAAGATTTTCCATAGGATCCTATCAGAAGGTTTTCTAAGTAGTCGAATATCGCAAAATTTTCTATAGGGTCCTACCAGAAAGTTAGCAAACCCTTCGATTATCACACACTTGCACGTGCTTTTTTTATTTTTAAACAGATGAGAATTGGAAGATATCTCATTAGATCCTGTTGAAAGGTTAGCAAGTCCCTTGACTATCATTCACCTCAACATGCCTTTTTTTCCATCTAAATAGAGGAATATCGCAACATTTTCTGAGCGAACATGCACAAAACATGTGTTTGAAATTAAAATCTTTCAACAAAGCGGTCGTATCCCACCAAGGCAGGGTGACCTAAAAAAGTAAAACAAAAGTTTCTCTTATTAGCTTTAGTAATGTATACAGGAGAAGGGGCTACTAGCCCCTTGCTCCCAGTATTTTAGTCACCTTTAATGACATGCATGGCTTACGGAGGAAGAATTCTGTTCCACTTCCCCATGGAGAGTGAAATTAAAGTACCTCCCTTTATACTTGATTTTAAAATAACACCCACCACTAATCAGTGATCAGTCAGTTTAGTTACAAACATAAGATCAAATATGACTAAGATCTGCCTTACCTTAGTCTTGCAGTCTACTTAAAAAAATTTTTTAGAGGTAATAGATTATAGCACTATTGTTAGGTAAAAGGACACAAGTGCAACTAATGTGACATTTTATTGTGGCAATGTTTACTCTGCAGAAGCTTTGCTGTTGCACAATAAAAAGCCACATTTGCACGTGTGTCTTTTAAGTAACGTTTTTTTTTTTAACACATCGGCAATCTCCCACCAAGGCAGGGTGACCCAAAAAAAGGAACACTTTCACCATCATTCAATAGCTTCGCCATCATTCATGCATAATCACCGTCTTAGCATAGGTGCCCCACTATGACAGTTCAGACGTCTCTCCGAACGGGCAATATTCCTAACCTCTCCTTTGTACTAACCAGTTTCCCTGAATCCTTTCACAAAATATTACCATGCTCACGCTCCAACAGCTTGTAAGGTCCCAAAAACCATTTCTCTCCATTTACTCCTAATGCTCACATATGCCTATTGCATCTCAAGGCCCCTTGCATACCTAGGACGAGCCCTACCCCTCCTCTCCTACTACAGATTTATACACCCTCCAAGTCATTCTGTTTTGCTCCATCCTCTCTAAATGAACAAACCACCTCAATAACCTCTCTTCAGGCCCTTTGAATAATACAGTGGACCCCCGCATAACGATGGCATCGCATAGCGATTTTTCCGCATAACGATTACTTTTATCGCAAAATTTTTGCCCCGCATACCGATTAAAAACCCGCATACCGATTTTCGTCCGAGACGCGTCCAATGTGCCCTCACATGTGCCGGCCGTCCCATTGTTTACCAGCCAGCCTCCGCGGTAACATCCAAGCATACACTCGGAATATTTCGTATTATTACAGTGTTTTCGGTGGTGTTTCTGGAAAATAAGTGACCATGGGCCCCAAGAAAGCTTCTAGTGCCAACCCTGTGGTAAAAAGGGTGAGAATTAGTATGGAAATTAAGAAAGATTTTGAAGGGTTTGGGGCTAACCCTGAGAAGCCTATGCCAGTTGTGGAATCCATTGTGCCTACTTCAAAGATTAAGGAAATGTGTGCAGAGTGGTTTGAACTGCAAACCTTTATAGATGAAAATCACCCTGACACAGCTGTTGCAAGCCGTGCTTGTGACTATTTCAATGACAATGTTATGGCCCATTTTAGGAAAGTCTTGAAGAAACGGGAGGTACAGAGCTCTATGGACAGATTTGTTGTGCGACAGAGGTCCAGTGACTCTGAAGCTGGTCCTAGTGGCATTAAAAGAAGAAGGGAAGTAACCCCAGAAAAGGACTTGCTACCTCAAGTCCTAATGGAAGGGGATTCCCCTTCTAAACAGTAAGAAGATAATGCTCTCCCCTCCTCCCATCCCATCAATCATCACCAGATCTTCAATAAAAGTAAGTGTCATGTAATTGTGCATGCCTTTTTCAGTTTGTGTGTATTAAAATTAACATTTCATGTGGTAAAAAAAATTTTTTTTCATACTTTTGGGCGTCTTGCACGGATTAATTTTATTTCCATTATTTCTTATGGGGAAAATTAATTCGCATAACGATTATTTCGCATAACGATGAGCCCTCTTGCACGGATTAAAATCGTTAACCGGGGGTCCACTGTACTTTTTATAACTCCACACCTCCTAATTTCCACACTACAAATTCTCTGCATAATATTTACACCATACATTGGTGTAGGAGGTAGGCTACTGAAAGCAGTGAAGAGTTTTTACGAGGATAGTGAGGCTCAAGTTAGAGTATGTAGGAAAGAGGGAAATTATTTCCCAGCAAAAGTAGGCCTTAGACAAGGATGTGTGATGTCACCGTGGTTGTTTAATATATTTATAGATGGGGTTGTAAGAGAAGTAAATGCGAGGGTCTTGGCAAGAGGCGTGGAGTTAAAAGATAGAGAATCACACAAAGTGGGAGTTGTCACAGTTGCTCTTTGCTGATGACACTGTGCTCTTGGGAGATTCTGAAGAGAAGTTGCAGAGATTGGTGGATGAATTTGGTAGGGTGTGCAAAAGAAGAAAATTAAAAGTGAATACAGGATAGAGTAAGGTTATGAGGATAACAAAAAGATTAGGTGATGAAAGATTGGATATCAGATTGGAGGGAGAGAGTATGGAGGAGGTGAATGTATTCAGACATTTGGGAGTGGACGTGTCAGCGGATGGGTCTATGAAAGATGAGGTGAATCATAGAATTGATGAGGGGAAAAGGGCGAGTGGTGCACTTAGGAGTCTGTGGAGACAAAGAACTTTGTCCTTGGAGGCAAAGAGGGGAATGTATGAGAGCATAGTTTTACCAACGCTCCTATATGGGTGTGAAGCATAGGTGATGAATGTTGCAGCGAGGAGAAGGCTGGAGGCAGTGGAGATGTCATGTCCGAGGGCAATGTGTGGTGTGAATATAATGCAGAGAATTCGTAGTTTGGAAGTTAGGAGGAGGTGCGGGATTACCAAAACTGTTGTCCAGAGGGCTGAGGAAGGGTTGTTGAGGTGGTTGGGACATGTAGAGAGAATGGAGCGAAACAGAATGACTTCAAGAGTGTATCAGTCTGTAGTGGAAGGAAGGCGGGGTGGGGGTCGGCCTAGGAAAGGTTTGAGGTAGGGGGTAAAGGAGGTTTTGTGTGCGAGGGGCTTGGACTTCCAGCAGGCATGCGTGAGCGTGTTTGATAGGAGTGAATGGAGACAAATGGTTTTTAATACTTGACGTGCTGTTGGAGTGTGAGCAAAGTAACATTTATGAAGGGGTTCAGGGAAACCGGCAGGCCAGACTTGAGTCCTGGAGATGGGAAGTACAGTGCCTGCACTATGAAGGAGGGGTGTTAATGTTGCAGTTTAAAAACTGTAGTGTAAAGCACCCTTCTGGCAAGACAGTGATGGAGTGAATGATGGTGAAAGTTTTTCTTTTTTGGGCCACCCTGCCTTGGTGGGAATCGGCCAGTGTGATAATAAAAATAAAAAAAAATTGCCCTTAGACACGACATCTCCACTGCCTCTGGCTGCCTCCTCGCTGCAGCATTTACAACCCATGCTTCACACCCATATAAGTGTTGGTACCGCTATAATCTCGAACATTCCCCTCTTCGCCTCCATGCATGGCACTTTTTTTTTTTTTTGTCTCCACAGATACCTCACCTTTTTTGTCTCCATCAATTCTATGGTTAACCTCATCCTTCATAAAACCATCTGCAAACGAATCTACTCCCAAATACCCAAACACAGTTCACTTCTTCCATACTCCTTCCCACTAATGTGATATCCAATTTTTCTTTACCTAACTCGTTTAATACCCTCACCACCAGACATTTGTGTTCACTTTCAACATTCTTCCTTTGTGCACTCTCCCAAACTTGTCCACTAACCTTTGCAACTTCTCTTCAGAATCTCCCAGAAGCACAGTATCATCAGCAAAAACTGTGTCAACTCCCATTTTGTATTTGATTCCCCATAATTTAATCCCACCCCTCTCCCCAACACCCCAGCATTTACTTCTTTTACAACCCCATCTATAAATATATTAAACAACCATAGTGACATTACACATCCCTGTCTAAGACCTACTTTTCTCCTACACACCCTAACCTGAGCCTCACTATCCTTTTAAAAACTCTTTACAGCATTTAGTAACTTAGCACCTATTCCATATACTTGCAACATCTGCCATATTGCTCCCCTATCCACCTCATATGCCTTTTCTAAATCCATAAATGCAATGAAAACTTTCCTACCTTTATCTAAATACAGTGGACCCCCGGTTATTGGCCATAATCAGTTCCAGGTTGGCCTAAATCCGAAATGGCCAAAAACCGAAGTAATATTTCCCTTAAGAAATAATGTAAATCCAATTAATCCATTCCAGAGACCCAAAATTAACAAAAAATACATTTTTTAAAGAATACCTATAGTTTTACATACAAAAACAATGAGAAGGAAATTTAAAGCAGTAATTTTAATAAATGAACATTACATACCTTTATTAAAAACTCTTGTTGGCATATGGAAGAAGGCAAGGAGGGAAGAGGGAGTTGGGGGTTATTGCTTGGAAGGGGAATCCACCTCCATAAGGACTTCAGGTATCAAGTCTATCTCTGGGGTTACTTCCCTTCTTTGTTTTTTACTGGCACTAGGACCAGCTTGCATCACTGTACCCCTGTCGCATAAAAAGTCTGTCCAGAGAGGCCTGTTTCTGGTGTCTGTAAAATTTGCCTAAAATGGGACAAGACATTGTCGTTGAACATGTTGCAAACACGGCTTGCAAGAGTTTTGTCAGGGTGATAATATCCTGCAAAACTTTGCACCTCATTCTACTTTGCACAAATGTCCTTAATCACTGA